AACCCACACCCTAACCCACACCCTGACCCAAGCCCTGACCCACACCTAACCCAAGCCCTATCCCACACCCTAACCCACACACTAACCCACACCCTAACCAAAACCCTAACCCAAGCCCAAACCCTAACCACACCCACACCCTAAGCCAAGCCCTAACCCACACCCACATCCTAACCCACACACTATTCCACACCCTAACCCACACACTAACCCACACCTTAACCAAAACCCTAACCCAAGCCCTAACCCAAGCCCTAACCCACACACTAACCCACACACTAACCCAAACCCTAACCCAAGCCCTAACCCACACCCTAACCCACACCCTAGCCAAAACCCTGACCCAAGCCCTGACCCACACCCTAACCCACACCCTAACCCACACCCTAACCAAAACCATAACCCAAGCCCTTACCCAAGCCCTAACCCACACCCTGACCCACATCTAACCCACACACTAACCCACACCTTAACAAAAACCATAACCCAAGCCCTACCCCAAGCCCTACCCCAAGCCCTACCCCACACCCTAAACCCACACCCTAAACCCACACACTAACCCACACACTAACCCACACCCACACCCTAACCAAAACCCTAACCCAAGCCTTAACCCACACCCTGACCCACACCTAACCCACACACTAACCCACACCCTAACCAAACCCACACACTAACCCACACCCTAACCAAAACCCTAACCCAAGCCCTAGCCCAAACCCTAACCACACCCTAAGCCAAGCCCTAACCCACATCCACACCCTAACCCACTCCCTAACCCACACACTATTCCACACCCTAACCCATACACTAACCCACACCTTAACCAAAACCCTAACCCAAGCCCTAACCCAAGCCCTAACCCACACCCTAACCCACACCCTAACCCAAGCCCTAACCCACACCCTAACCAAAACCCTAACCCAAGCCCTAACCCACACCCTAACTCACACCCTGACCCAAACCCTAACCTACACCCTAACCCACACCCTAACCCACACGCTAACCCACACACTAACCCACACCCTAACCCACAACTGTAGTGGAATGAACCTTGGATTGTCACCCTTGTTCCTGCTGGGCTGTCCGTAGCTTGTCCCCCCTTTCATTTCCTATGTTTTGTGTTCCTAGTCCCTGGTGCCTCTTGTTCTTTCCCCTGTTCGTCTGGCCGTTCGGTAAAATAGCAGCCACCCTGTCTAATACCACGTCATGTTCGACATCCTAACAAATTACTGAACGCCAGACCACCCATATAGCGTCTCTATATCATGTGTGTATGTCATAAAGCTTGTATATCATATAGCATGTGCATATAATATAAAGTCTGTATATCAACCAGAGTGCTCTGAGCCTAATTGCAGGGTGGGGCAAGGCTTTATAAGCCTTCCCCCGTCCTGCAGAGCTCAGTCTTTTTTTTTTTTTAAGTGCGACGGATATTATGGTTTTTTATTTGGCCTTTTCTGGGGCTGAAAAAAGAAGATTTTAGAAAAAAGAAGACATCAAATGGTAAGTTTTATTTATTTTATTTTTTGACAGGTACTTAATTATTGTTCCCCCCCCCCCTCATGATTTTTATGGTGAGGGGAGGAGGTAGGGATTTGAATATTTTTTTGGGGAGGGGGTGACTATGGGATTGGGGAACCCTTTTACGGATGTCTCTTGCTTGAGCACATTACAGTACATGGCAGTAAATGAGAGTACATGGCAGTAAATGAGAGTACATTACATTAAGTGAGAGTACATGGCCGTAAACGAGAGTACATGGCAGTAATTGAGAGTACATGGCAGTAAATGACAGTACATGGCAGTGCATTGTAAGTAAATGAGAGTACATGGCAGTAAATGAGAATACATGGCAGTACATGGTAGTAAATGAGAGTACATGGCAGTAAATGAGAATACATGGCAGTACATGGTAGTAAATGAGAGTACATGGCAGTAAATGAGAGTACATGGCAGTAAATGAGAGTACATGGCAGTAAATGAGAGTGCATGGCAGTAAATGAGAATACATGGCAGTACATGGTAGTAAATGAGAGTACATGGCAGTAAATGAGAGTGCATGGCAGTAAATGAGAGTGCATGGCAGTAAATGAGAGTACATGGTAGTAGATGAGAATACATGGCAGTACATGGCAGTAAATGAGAGTGCATGGCAGTAAATGAGAGTGCATGGCAGTAAATGAGAGTGCATGGCAGTAAACGAGAGTGCATGGTAGTAGATGAGAATACATGGCAGTACATGGCAGTAAATGAGAGTACATGGCAGTACATGGCAGTACATGGCAGTAAATGAGAATACATGGCAGTACATGGCAGTAAATGAGAATACATGGCAGTACATGGCAGTAAATCAGAGTACATGGCAGTAAATGAGAATACATGGCAGTACATGGCAGTAAATGAGAGTACATGGCAGTACATGGCAGTAAATGAGAATACATGACACAATCGGCACGTACTAAGTTTAACACTAACTACCAACGATCCCCAGCTGGAAAAAACATCCTATGATTGGGGCATCCTAGAGGCGGTTATCGTTGGACTGGACTGCCTTACACTGCAATGGCCACCATACCCTGTGCGTTAGCCATCGTTACCTGAATTAGTGATGGTGACTTAAAGGGTACTGTGCCATCGAAGAAAGGGTTAAAGTGCACGTACCATTGTAGACACAACTTGGTGTTAAATTAAGGAGTATTAAATTCTATCTCTACAAAAGCGAATACATGAATAGATTTTAATTTAATGACCTTTAATGTTCAGGCACTCCCCACTTATTACTCAAAGCCTAATTACTAAAGTCTGTTTAGCAAATTTCCAAACTTGGCTGCAGGCGGGTACAATCATGAGGAATGTCTCCCAACAAGGTGAAAAGATAGGACGTAAAAGACAGAGCAGGCTTAGCGTTAATCAACCAGATAAGGCAGAGCGGCAAACCAAAAAAAGGGGATCCCTCCAGCCCGTTTCAGAATCAACAGAAATAAACAAAAACAAAGAGGTTGCACCACAACAATACAATAAAATACTGTAGTCAGTAATAAAATGAATGTTAAGACACCCCGGGTGTCTTTAAACGAAACCGCCGTTTAGTTCACCTTCCCCTTTCGCAATATCAGTAATCCATTCGCATAAATTGTAATCCACGAACCATAACCAGGGGAAGCGGCAATCTCCCGACCGGGATCCGTGAAAGGCTCCAAACTCCCGAACGGAAATCCACGAACTGCTGCTAGCCGCTGAACAATAACATCCACCAAGCGGCTTTCGTTTCCATCCAGCAGTCTCTAAGCGCAAAGAAGGAAATCCCCCCCAATAACGAGACAGAAGCTCCGCATTGAGGGTCAAACAGGATCTGGCCTTACTGTGGGCTACCTGCCCGTATTTATGCAGGTCTCCCACTTGGTGGACACTCCCCTAGGAGACCAAATGGGAGACTGGAATTACAGATGGACATGGGGACATTTCAGACATACAATCACAAGCTTTTCCCACAATGCAATATGGTTTCCTCCCCTCTGCCCTGGAGATAATTGAGAAGTAATTCAATTATCTCCAGGACAAAGACAAATCGCCATCTTAAATACAATACCAGAAAACACATAAAAATACATAACTTTAAAATAACCGAACATTTCCCATTTGCATCACATATCCCCTGGATATAGCCTGGATCTGAGTGCATATTATTAGTGAATAGCACTCAGATCCCACACACATAGTTCAATCGCCATGGAGTCAAAGTTCTTACAGTTTTTCGGTATGCGATTGACTCCATGGGAAGGCTATCTGGGTTAAGTCTTTTCGTGTGTTTCAAAACTCCCGAACGGCCGGTGTTCGTACGCTTTCGTCGAGGCAGCCAGGCGACCCGTTGTTTCAGCAGTGTTTGGCAGAAAAAGTGTCAGTTTTAAGTTCCATGGAATCAGTGCCAAACACCGCTGGGCTTTCGTGCGTTTTAAAATGGCCGCTGCCTCGTGGTCGACATACGAACGACGGCCACCCTGAATTCGGTTTAATTGAGAAGTGTCTGCGGTTAACCACAACGTTCTAATTGGGATCAAGAGGTTAACCAGCAGCACACTTCTTCTTCTGGGTGGCCATCCGTTCGGTGAATTTGTTTGGTGAAAACAGTCATTCGTATGGCTGGGCTATAGAAACAGCCATTTACACGAAAGGGGGCAGAAACAGACGAATCCACCACAATAGACAGACAGATGGTTCTGTCACAATGAAATAGTCCAGAATAAAATGCAATATAAACCCTTAGGTAGATGGTAGATTATTCTACTGGGAAGCAGGTTCCTTGGTAAGATCCGTATAGATATGTAAAACAGAAAGAACAGAAAATCAAATGGTGCAATAAATCAATATAAGCGTGGTGTATAGAGTAAAACGTATAGTAAATCTTACTCACATTTAATGGAGCTATGACCGGCTCCAGTTGTAGTAGCGCACAGTGGTATAATCCCCACTTACGAGATATGTGGATAAGTGTCCGAAGGAGAGGTAGTTTTGTTGAACCCAAAATGACAAGAATATAAAAAGACAGATAATAGTGCTCTCTGTTGCAATAAAAATGCTAAAATAATAATTGTAGTGAATACTCACAAATATAGAGCAGGCAAACTGCTCTATGGATAAGGCACCGGCGGTCACAGAGAGAGACTGTGATACCTTTAGTGGGAATTACTTAGGAATACCTTTTACACTTCTCATGTTATATTTTTTTATTTCACTTAAATTTTTTTGCTTCTTTATTTTCCCAATGTAATTCCATGGTGTGGGTGAGCAGAATATCCCAACACCCCACCATAAAATAATGTAATCTGATTACAGCTTCCCACAAAACAACAAAATGAAAATCAGCAAAAAGTGAGAAAATGCCATTTCATAGATAAAAACCATAGAAAGAAAAACCCTAAACACATTTAAATTACTGGAGATTTATTTAGTGGCCATTCAAGTGTGAGCTCACCTGCCATGTCCATTTCATGGATACTTTTCAGATTATTTTTTATCTTTTATTTTTTAATTATGAGATTTTCATAAATTCACACTTTTCACCTTAAATAAAAATTTCTGCAAAACGCCAACAAAAATAGTTACTTTCTCAGTGCATGATGGCAAACTGGGCAAGTAAAAAATGTAGGAATCAGCTGCATAAATGAGACATGGGAATTACTGGTGCCTGTTGAATTAAACAATAGTGGTTACAGGACTCCATGGAAATGGAATTCAGGATGGAAATAGGACTGAAATGATATTCTTAATAAATCCTTAGAAATGAATGTATCAGCTGATCAGATCATTATCTCCCATATAAAAGGGTAGGAAAAAACAAAAATGCTGAAATGATACTCTAGTAGGGGTTCTGTAACTAAAATGTAAAAGAACCAGTACACGCTTAGAACTCGATACAATAAATAAAAAATTTGTAACTTTTGTCCCACATGGGGTTAAAATCCTTTAAATGTGTCGATATTTTAGTGTAGCAGACAGAGTGCTTACTATAAAAGATTTTATTAGCACAAAAGCAATGTCAAGACAATACACATATATATAAAAGACTAATAAATAAATAAATAAATAAAAATGTCCGAAGTAAGAAAGCAAAGAATACCAGCTTTGCAGACTAAGGACCTTTAGTTTTACATTTTAGTTACAGTACCCCTACTAGAGTATCATTTCAGCATTTTCGTTTTTTTCCTACCCTTGTATATGGGAGGTAATGATCTGATCAGCTGATACATTCATTTCTAAGGATTTATTAAGAATATCATTTCAGTCCTATTTCCATCCTGATTTAATTTACACTGAGCCCTGTAATCACTATTGTTTAATTCAATAGGCACCTAGTACCTGTTTAATCTTAGGTGGCGGTTGTTTCTACAGTCACACAGTGGTTATGGTAGTTGCATTTGGTCTCATAATTCAGCTCTAGAAGGTTATTCACCATTGTTTCTGATGTCCTCCTATTAAGTTGTTATTGATTTTCTTAGGGAAATGGGAATTGTTTGCAGTTAAAAAGGTAAAGATGTCCACTAAATAAGAATGAGATTTTCTATCCAACTCTACTCCCAGTCTAGCTTGTCTTCTTGCCCAATCATTTCCGAAACTTCTCCCATGTGACCTGAACTGAGCGCCTCTTGTACGCTTTCAACCTGAGCCCCATATGGTCCACACTGGAAGAGGAATAATTAATATTGAGGTAATGTTCGTGGTAGCAAATATAACATAATCAAAAATGAATATATAGTAAGTTCATGGCGTAACAGAATTGCATTACCAAATGAAGGCATCATTATCGTTAATTATACCTCATTAGCATGGGTCCTCACCCCTTTATTCTGACTAAATAATGAGTACAGTGCATTTTTTGATATCTAACATTACCCGTAAGTACCACACAGTCATTGATTGGTGATCAATAAAACCTCTTAGAAGAAAATGAACTCTTTAACGCTGAAACATATGGACAATAATCTGTTGGGTTTTTAGTATGGATTCCCTTTAATGATGCTGTCTCTGTTACAGTGTGGGTGGTGGAACACGTGTCTGCTATCCTACGGCAGGAGAATCGCTAGTATCCTCTTAGGCCAAGCTCGGGGCTTCCAATCCATTAATGGGCCCGTTCCATAAAAGCAGAAAGAGACATTTGCATGTCATTGGCACTCATGTTACTCAATATTAACACGTCTCCATCGATTTTAACTGAATTCTCAGCTTTCAGCAAAACGTAGTCCTCCGGAGATACGAGCCTGGTTTATATCTGTCTCTCTGTTTGGTGAAAAGTATTATTGATTGTTTATTGATTGCGAGTACATTGTGAATAATAATCTCATCACCTCTTCATTAGCTGTGATCTATGGGAGGAATCTGATTGGCTAATAGATACGTCATTAATCTGACAGTAGCCATGTGAATAGAATGTTATCCATGTGTTATGGAAGACTTTTTTCATGCACTTTCTGAAATAATTAGGTGGATACATTACAGAACTGTGATCGGGTAAAGTCCCTGTTTCAACTTCACTGTTTAACCTCTAGATTGCTGCAGTTTGGTGTTCAGTCCGTAGAGAACTGCAAAATTCAGTGTTCTCACAGTGTGCACAGAGGCACAGAGTGTTCAATCTATGGAGAGCTGCTGGGCTTAGTATTCAGTCTATGGAGAGCTGCAGGGTTCAGTGTTCAGTCTATGGAGAGCTGCAGGGTTCGGTGCTGTAGGTGTTGTGTGTGTGTGTGTGGGCTCTGTGTGTGTGAAGGTGCTGTGTGTGTAGGCGCTGTGTGTGTGGGCAGGCGCCGTGTGTGTGAGGGTGCTGTTAGTGTGTGTGCTGTTAGTGTGTGTGCTGTTAGTAAGGATGCTGTGTGTGTGAGGGTGCTGTTAGTGTGTGTGCTGTTAGTAAGGGTGCTGTGTGTGTGACGGTGCTATTAGTATGTATGCTGTGTGTGAGGGTGCTGTTAGTGTGAGGCATAGGCATGCGCAGCCCATTGCATAAGGGTGTGCACCCTAAAGCACAAACACACACGCCGCACATATATATATACATATATACATACACACACACACACTGTGTGTGTGTGTAGGTGCTTTGTGTGTGTGTGTGGGCTCTGTGGGCAGGCGCTGTGTGTGTGAGAGTGCTGTTAGTGTGTGTGCTGTTAGTAAGGATGCTGTGTGTGTGAGGGTGCTGTTAGTGTGTGTGCTGTGTGTGAGGGTGCTGTTAGTGTGTGTGAGGGTGCTGTTAGTGTGACGCATAGGCATGCGCAGCCCATTGCATAAGGGTGTGCACCCTAAAGCACAAACACACACGCCGCATATATATATATGTATATGTGGGCGGGCGCTGTGTGTGTGAGGGTGCTGTTAGTGTGTGTGCTGTTAGTAAGGGTGCTGTGTGTAAGGGTGCTGTGTGTGTGAGGGTGCTGTTAGTGTGAGCGCTGTGTGTGAGGGTGCTGTTAGTGTGAGGGTGCTGTTAGTGTGTGTGCTGTGTGTGAGGGTGCTGTTAGTGTGAGTGTGCTGTTAGTGTGAGTGTGCTGTGTGTGTAAGGATGCTGTGTGTGAGGGTGCTGTTAGTGTGAGGGTGCTGTTAGTGTGAGGGTGCTGTGTGTGTGTGTAAGGGTGCTGTATGTGAGGTTGCTGTTAGTGTGAGGGTGCTGTTAGTGTGAGTGTGCTGTGTATGTGAGGGGGCTGTTAGTGTAAAGGTGCTGTTAGTGTGTGTGTGCTGTGTGTGTGAAGGCCCTGTGTGTGTGAGGGTGCTGTTAGTGTGTGTGCTGTGTGTGTAAGGGTGCTGTGTGTGTAAAGGTGATGTGTGTGAGGGTGCTGTTAGTGTGTGTGCTGTGTGTGTAAGGGTGATGTATGTGTGTGTGTGTGTGTGGGTGCTGTTTGTGTGGGGGTGGGGGGAGCATTTAGTTAATAGCCCCCTGCCTTCTTACCTTTTTATTATTATTATTATTATGGTATTTATATAGCGCCATCAAATTCCGCAGCGCTTTATGAGTGATGTAGGAAGATCAATAGTGAAAACTCAGTTAGTCTCAATAAGCAAATAGAGAACTATAAATGTGTGAAGTAACCATGCAAAATCATACAAACAGATTCTCCATTGCTCCCATGCTATCAGTAAGAACCGTCAAGGACTCTGCCTGATTCTGTCAGTCGATGTGGTGCTGCCATCCCTGGTGGTCCAGTGGAGAGTGAACTCTAGCCTGCGGGACTAGAGTTCACTCTCGCGAGATCTGGGCGTTGCCGCGGCAATGCTCAGATCTCACGAGAGGAACCCGGCGGAGCTACTGGCAAGAGCTCCCCGGGTCCTCTCCTGCCTCCCTGCCTGTGGGCCGGTGAGGGAGATCTTTGATCTCCCCACTGGCCCACAGAGGGAGGCATATAGTGGTGCCGCGGGGATTAGGGTGTGCCCAGGCACACCCCGTGCACATGCCTATGTATGGAAGGCTGCAGGGTTCAGTGTTCAGTCTATGGAGAGCTGCAGGGTTCAGTATTCAGTCTATAGAAAGCTGCAGGGTTTAGTGTTCAGTCTATGGAGAGCTTCAGTAGTCAGTCTATGGAGAGCTGCAGGGTTCAGAGTTCAGTCTATGGAGAGCTGCAGAGTTCAGTCTATGGAGAGCTGCAGGGTTCAGTATTTAGTCTATGGAGAGCTGCAGGATTCAGTGTTCAGTCTATGAAGAGCTGCAGGGTTCAGAGTTCAGTCTATGGAGAGATGCAGAGTTCAGTCTATGGAGAGCTGAAGGGTTCAGTATTTAGTCTATGGAGAGCTGCAGGATTCAGTGTTCGGTCTATGGGGAGCTGCAGGGTTCAGTAGTCAGTCTATGGAGAGCTGCAGGGTTCAGTGTTCAGTCTATGGAGAGCTGCAGGGTTCAGTATTCAGTCTATGGAGTTGCAGGGTTCAGGGTTCAGTCTACGGAGAGCTGCAGGATTCAGTGTTCAGTCTATGGAGTTGCAGGGTTCAATGTTCAGTCTATAGAGAGCTGCAGGGCTCAGTATTCAGTCTATAGAGAGCTGCACGGTTCAGTGTTCAGTCTATGGAGAGCTGCACGGTTCAGTAGTCAGTCTATGGAGAGCTGCAGGGTTCAGTATTCAGTCTATGGAGAGCTACAGGGTTCAGTCTATGGAGAGCTGCGGGTGTCAGGGTTCAGTGTTCAGTCTACGGAGAGCTGCAGGATTCAGTGTTCAGTCTATGGAGTTGCAGGGTTCAGTGCTCAGTCTATGGAGAGCTGCAGGGTTCAGTGCTCAGTATATGGAGAGCTGCAGGGTTCAGTATTCAGTCTATGAAGAGCTGCTGGGTTCGGTATTCAGTCTATGGAGAGCTGCAGGGTTCAGTGTTCAGTCTATGGAGAGCTGCAGGGTTCAGTATTCAGTCTATGGAGAGCTGCAGGGTTCAGTATTCAGTCTATGGAGAGCTGCAGGGTTCAGTGTTCAGTCTATGGAGAGCTGCAGGGTTCAGTGTTCAGTCTATGGAGAGCTGCAGGGTTCAGTACTCAGTCTATGGAGGGCTGCCGGGTTCAGTATTCAGTCTATGGAGAGCTGCAGGATTCAGTGCTCAGTCTATGGAGTTGCAGGGTTCATTCTATAGAGTGCTGCAGGGTTCAGTCTGTAGAGAACTGCCGAGTTCAGACAGATTAGAATATCAGAAGATCATGAACTGCTTCATCTCTCTGAATAGAAATCTGTTTCATTTCTTTGACATCAGATTGACTTGGAACAGTTGTTATTAGAATTCTCTGGACTCCCATAAAACCCAGGAAACTGAAGTCGGTGAATAATCTAAACCAATCTAGTTTATTATGTTATAGTCAGGGGATACACATCCAAAATGTAGCAAGCACCCAACAGATATGGATTGCTATGTTAACATGCAGCAATTATAGTGCTGAGTGCCTAATGAGACAACCTGTGCCCCTCCAGGTCCTTAGATCAAATCAAATAAATAAACTCAAAGCACAGCTTGAAATATTGCAAAGACAAGATCTTTATTTATATAACCTGCATGCAGGTAAAAAGATACACAATATAAAAAGTCACTTAAATCCCAGCACAAAGTGCCTACTCTATCAATTCAACCAATCAGAAAACAAACGGTGTATGCCTGGGAGTGAATGGGGCCGTGCTGACCCTCTACGTCCATCCAGAAACAAGAAGATTGTAAGTGCTTCAGAGTCTCTATATTCATTGCTTTAACATTAGAGACTGATTTACACCGCTGTACACATTTAACAGGTTTAACATTGTAACACTGGTTGCCTGGAAACTGCACGTTCCCATCTGAGCGCAGTTAACTCACGATGTGCCAAATCCACCGCCATTTATCACGCACTGAATTACACGATAAATGGCCTTTAATCACAGGGTTGGGGGCTTTCCCCGAACTCTAGACCTTGAATTACCCAATGACCCAAATACAAAGTAAATAAAGTAATGCACCAGGGTGGGATGACTTACACAAACTCATTAAATGATCTGGGTAAAAAAACTTTCAGATTCCAGGGCCGCAAAAAGCCATTTGGAAACTATTGCTGGCACCAGAAATCATGGACAAATTACATGTGCCACCAAGCACTAATAATGTGTGTCCGTATCATGTCCGCCCACACAGTGGCGTACACACAATACATGGGGCCCCTGTGTGAAACTGATCCGTGGGCCCCCCACGATCCGTGCCCTCCCCCCCCCCAACACATGCATACAGACATACATAGAGGCATACACACAGACACATACATAGGCATACACACAGACACATACATACATACATATATACAGACACACACATACACCCCCCCGACAGACACATACATACACACACAGACACATACATACAGACAGACACACACATACACACACACCCTGACAGACATACACAGAGACACATACATACACACACAGACACACAGATACATACAGAGACACACACACATACAGTCTGTATGTGTGTGTGTCTGTATGTGTGTGTGTGTGTGTGTCTCTATGCATGTCTGTGTATGTCACAGACACATACATACAGAGACACACACACAGACACATACAGAGACACACACATACAGACACACAGACATACACATACATACAGACATACACATACAAAATGTTTAAGTCACGCTCCTGTTACCTACCTTTTGCAGGAGGGTGACTTCCCTGAGGTCCAGTGTGGGCTCAGCCTGATGGGAGTCAGAGTTCCCACTCTGACTCCCTCCTCCTTCCTCCCGCGCGGCTGACGTGCAGTCACTTTCTACCAGCTCTGTCTGACATCATCACAGGGGGCTCGGTCAGCACTGGGCGCACTGTTAAAGCGCCCAGCGCTGACCGGGCCCCCTGACAATCCGTCTCCATTGGGTCGCCCTGACAGCATGGGCCACCCGATGGACCCTCTAACATGCGGCCCCGGCGGTTTGCCGCGCGGGCCTGGGCCGCAAAAGATGTGGCAGCTGGTACCCGGTCGCAGGGGTCCGCAGGGCAGCCGGGCCCCCTGGAGTGACAGGCCCGGTCGCAGCTGCAACCGCGGTATGTATGCCACTGCTCCCACACCCAGATCCTGACTCTTTTAACTTCTCAAAATTCCTTATGTGTGTTACTACTCCAATATATTACTTAAACCCCATCCCGTGCCCCTTTGCCACCTTGTTTAGTACTTTACAACCTTTTCTTTTATTTACCATCTAGAACCCTTTCCCCTACTCCCCAATCTTGTATCTACTCAACCTTATTGCCTCCCATGTTCGAAAAGCCCCATCTTCGGGCCCTAGCTATCCTCTCCTGCTTTCTTGTCTCTTCAGTCCTGTTCTGCTCTGCATTTATCATTTTAGCCCCTCTATTAATTCTGTAAAAAAAATATTAACTTTTTACCAAATTTAAATCTTTTAGGTATTTCTCCTGGCAGTGAAGGCGTTAAGAGCTGGTATCACCAGTGATTGGAAAGATGAGTGAATTATCTCACTGATTGGAGATTTGAACTTAGAAGAAAAAGCTGTTTTACGCAACTGATTTGAGATGCATCCATTCAGATAACACAAATCAGAGCGTGATCAAAACTGTTTTTCTACAATTTTACTAAAAACCTATATAGACCCAAAAGCAGAGTTCATGGAGACTGCCTTGAAATTCTGCCAGTTTATCTAGAATCCAGTATTGCACTCAAGGAAATTGGGGATTCAGTCTGTCATTTTTACACGCCTGGTCCTGATTGCATTTCTATCTAGTGGTATAAAAAAAGCTTAGGGTGTCTAACCGTAAAAAACAAAAACGCAATCAAGTAACGATGTAGGTCTATTAACCCCTCTAATGCCAGAGGGCTGCGACTCAAAGGGGTTTGTTCACTTAAAGTACATTTTATCATTTCTGGCCATTCCTCCAGGTAGTACCCCTTCTCTACCCAATCTCATTATCCAATTCATTTCACAATTCTCCCAGCCCGGGTATGACGCCTCCTCCATTAGATACACCAAATCTTGCTTATAACAAAAATGTCAGCCCACCATATTCAGTTAACTCATACAGTGATAATTACTAAATTAATTTCAATTTTAAGGTAAATATAGCTGAAGTGGAAACATTCTCTAAATCAGCTGTGCTTTCAATTTAGCTACTCGGGTCTTGAATGTGAAATTCACTTTGAATTCTATTTAAATTTTATGTTTAGTAAATAACCCTGATAATATCACCCACTCCCACCAAAGACAGTTATTGGTCTTCAATTTCCCTTGAAGTTAAAGAACCACTATAGTGTTCGGAATATGTAGTGCACCACAGGTTACCTCCAATAATTCCTTCACTCTGGAATCATTAGAATACACAGACATTCATTCCCCCAGTAACCAGACGAAACATAGTTCTGGGAGTCAACTGATTTATTTCTGACCACACACGGCTTTTATGCACAGATCCCTACATGCGGTCTCTAATACAATAACACAGGGGTTTCAATCCCAAGATCTTCTGTGTCTGACAGCTAATTGCGTGAGAAAAACATTTCTCTGGTACAGAAAATCCATACAAAATATACAGTACTCCAAAAATGCCCCCATAACTAAGAACCCCACAAAAGTCCCTGGAAAGCCCTGATCTGAGTGTATAACATATTCAAATATCACTCAGATTGGTCCGGTGACACTGCCACTGGGGTAAAGTTTTGACCGGCTGCCCAAAACAGTCGCAGAGAAATAGGTGTCCTGGCCATTCTCTGTTTGGGGGTTTTGTGCGAACACCATGCAAGGGATTCTCTTAGTTTCAGGGTATGAATGCTCCCCCTGTTAGGTAGTTCATATCTCCCAAACGTTGTTCGCATAGCTGGTCGGGAAGTAGAACGGGCAGTCGTCCAAGCTTTACCAGGGTATGTGCAAGTGCCTAGCCGAAAAGTGTTCCAGGCACTGGACGACCAAGTGTCGCTGCCCACGTTCGGGAGACAAGATGGCTTGCATTCTTTTGTCGACCGCATGCGTTTGGTTATACGAAATGGTGGCGACCCAGGGGAAGTGATCATTAATTACTTTCCTTGCCGGTATGAACGTTCTAATGGGGTACAGGGGTGTTCCTCGTTCGGGAGATGAATGGAAATCATTCGTATATAACTACTCAAGAACGGAAAAGGGAAAAAACACACAAAGGGGGCAAAATGTATGATATTGGCGGTAGATTCCACTACAAAATACAACTGTGTTCCTTTAACTTCCACCCCCTCCCTCATGCCCCCACACACCCCCCAGTGGCAAATAATAAGTTAATCACCTTTTTACACTTACCTGATCCCAGCATCGAGGGACCTAGGTGCTGGGTCGGGCAGCAACTCCTTCAACCTCAATAGGGGAACCTAACGTGCATGCATCCATTGATTTAGGATTGATTTGAGATTTAGGAGATGCCAGACGTCCTCATTGTCAGGGTTCTTACCTGAGATGGGTGTCTGTAGTGCAGAGATGTTTGCTCACCCTTGCAGATAGACACAGTCCAAGGTGACCAGATAAGAAGCCACCTGGACTGTGAATCTGTGCACGGGGGCTGTGCAGGAAAGGTGATTTCAATGCCAACAAGGACACAAACAGCAGGATAGTCAAGGGATAGCCGAAGTCAAAGGATGCCAGAGGTCAGGATTAACAAAGTCAGAAGCCGGGGTCAATATGGAGTTGAAGATCAAGAGACTGGAACACAAGAACTAAACACACACAACATGATCAAAGACTTGATAGAGTTCCCAGGGCGAGGCTGTGTTTATATACCCTGCTGATGACTAATCTATCTCAGGTGAAGCACAGCAATAGACCAAGTCCAGCCCCCAGTGCTGCAGACAAGCCAGGATGAACAGGACTAGAATTATTCTGCGAACTAGGAACTGCTGTGGCTCAAAGGTAGATGGCAGGCCCAGGACTGCAAAGTACCCAGGTTCAAATTGGCTACTTTTGTTGGGCACTTCTGGGGTGACCACTTCTGGCTGTCTGGATGTCATGGTGAGAACCGTGACACTCATGCACAATGTGAGGACGTCCAGTGTCATTTCACAGAGTCAAACTGCACAAAGCAAATCTAGTGGCTGCCTGGTTACCGCCACTAGAGGCAGACTTAACACTAGTTTCTCAAAGTCTGCAGTGTTTTACATTGTAGGGTTAAGGGAACAAGGACACTGCATGCAAAAAAATTGAAAAATGGCAGATACAGGTAAATGCAGGGAGGTTACTGGGAAAGAAGGAAGTGGGGCCAGAGTGGAAGATTGCTTTTAGGTTAAATCTGCTCTAAAAACACAGGAGATGAGATTACAGCAGGATTATTCTTTACTTCATAGCGAGGAAGCCTATTTTCTGTTATTGGAATGGGATGTTACATTTTTTATGAGTTAGTGGCCAAAGGTCCCTGACCTGAATGGCTGTCGTCCAATGTCTGACCTTTGTATTAAAACCCGTATTGTCACATCCAACATGTTTTTTTCTAGACTCAGAATTCCTTCATCATATTGCCCATTCGTTTTTAAAAGCATGTGTTTTCTGCCAAGTGATATAGAAATAAAAAAAGATAATTTGCAAAATAGTGAGTATTGGGTCAGATAACTGACCATCTGACCAAAGGTGTATAAAGATGGCTATCAAAAAGGGGGCGTAGCAAAGACATTTCTTGAAAAATGTCAATATGGACGAAGAAAGAAATAAGGATATGGTATATTATGACATTATATTAATATACATGCATTGCTGGCAGTGTTACTTTATGTTGATTCATGTGTGTGTTTTTCATGTTCTAACATGGTGGACCGACAAACCCAAGTTAATACCAGCTATTAACCTTGGCACTGCACGTCATTACCCATAATATAAACGAATACCACATGGAGAGACAAATTAATAGTCACAAAAAGCCAGATGCAAACCATATAAGCACCCCCTCAAGTGCTTAAATACAAAGATCCATATATAATACAGAATGCACACTATAACAACCACAGTTATCAAGTACAAAACTTTAATAAGTAGGCAAATATCAATAAATAACAAAAATAAACAAAGTAACAAAATGAGGCAAATATAAATCAAGAGTAATTTACCCAAATCTTTCAAGCTTCAAAGCACCAACTCCCCCAGCGTTTCGGCACCAACCGGTTGCCTTTATCATGGGTACCAGTGTCCATGTTCTCATGTGTCTGCTTTTAAGGCCCTCATACAGCTGACAGCCATCAGCATGAAATTATAACCATCCCCGGACGTGACATCCTCACTACAGGTGTTGGTACAATACACCAGATATATTTAGGAAAAACACACCATACATGACTGTGACGAGTGCCCTTCGTCTCTTGGTCCTGGAGAGGCTTGCTTGCCAGTCTCCTGCCCTGCGACTATGGCCCTGAGGTGTATGGCCCTTTTAAAACATTATTTTGGGCTCATGGACTTTTAAAAGACTGTTTCTGGCCCTTTAAATGCTTTGGGAAAGGATTGGTAATTTTTATATGGCACTTCGGATAGAGCTGAAGTGCTGAAGTAGTTGAAGTGGCCACCATTCAAAAAAACGAACACGTGGCGGAGGCCATTTTAATTCAGTCGAACGCGGTCAGCGGTGTGTGCCGTCAAATCTCTGGAACTGAAATCGGCTACACGACGGCACGAACACCGCTGAACCTTACCTTTGTTTCCACTTCGACATTTTGACAGAAGTCGAAATGCGTTCGACTATTCGAACGCCGCATTCGAATGGGACTTATTATTTATTTTTCAGTGCAGAAATAGACCAGCCGCGCAGCCTGAATCTGTGGAACTGTTTTGGACATGCAAACAGGTGTGCGGTCAGTCCAAAGAGACTTTTTACTATCTCTGGAACCCCTGCACGGATTTACACTAATTTTGGATGTGTTTGTCTTCAAGTTATACTGGTTATAAAAATATAAGTTTTATGTGTGTACGATGTAAGACCAAGGAGTTATAAAAATTTATAAAAAGTGTAATTTCTCAGCTTGGAGATAATTAAGGAGATACAGTAAGTAACTCAATTATCTCCTAAGCAGAGGGGAGCAATGTTCTGTAATTGCTGGGTGTGTTTCTGTACCATGTCCAGT